ATAAAATCATCTTATGATTTGAAGTAGATTTAAAGTAATTCTGAGATTTAATATATCACTTAATTATCCTATTATTTATTTTATTAGTTTTGTCCAAAACCGTCACTTTTTTCCGTTATTTTAAAATATTTTTATTCTTTTGCTTTTTTTTTTTTCCTTTTTCTTCTCCAACAATGCACTTTTTGTTGAATGCTTTCCAAACAATGTTAAGTCCACCGTTTGCAGATCTTTGAGCACCTTCCTCTGATATTTCCAGGTACCATTTCACCTTTTCTTAGACTAGTAGGGCGATCCTTATACTAAGATTCGTTCAAGTGGTTAAGTCTTCACCATTTTGCATGCTGCCATTTGGTTACAGTGGGAAGCTTGCAGGATCTTTTTCCCATTCTGTTAGGTCATCTCCTTAGTTATGCACCACCCAAGAATATGGCTCATCATCCGATTCTTCCTCATGTCAGCCCAAGTTCGATTCACATCTTCAAGCAATTCCAGAAGATGAAACTCCTGAGGTGTTGAAACATAAATGCTTACCTCTTGTTCGGAAACCAAGCTTTCCATACTGTAAAAGGGTTTCACCTCTCACATCATAGTGCAGTTCATCCGCCGCATGGGGTAGTAGGAAGTTGATACTGAGATCTGTCCCTCTTCCATCATTCTCTCCACCATGAAAGTTGTGACTTTCCAGAAGAACACTTGTAAAAGTTATCGTTTTCTTCATGGTGCTTGTTCAGCAATGTACTTCCACTCTGCGTAGTGCTTAAGACTCTCTAGCTCTGGAACTTTGAAATTTCGTACCTTCAGAATAGGTTCTGTTTATTAAAGTGGAATCCTTGTAATACTATCTTTGTATTTCTTCTTGTCTCCATAAATTGTAGCCAACAATCATAATGATTTTATTGTTTGAGTGTAATATTTATTATGGTATGTTGCTTAAATTTTATCCTGAAAAATTGGTTAAAGTTTCTGCAGAATTTTTAAGTATCTTGGTATAGACAAAAAGATTGACAACTAATTCAGTGTAAAATGCGCATGTACCACTTTCCAACAGTTAAATGGGGGAGGCAAACCAAAAATATAATGAGGTTTCAGTGTTGCATTAAGGATAATATAAGAACAAAAAGCCCCCATCTAGTCAAAATCATAAAAAAAAATTTTGCCAAATACAAACTTTCTAGGTTTTGTCGCCAAGCTAGTTCTTCCCATCAATCATAATAATGAAATATAGGGGCAAATCTTTCAGATACTGTATACTTAACCAAGCTAAAAATGGAAGTATACCACTATACTAATAAAACAAAGCTCTCTTCAGGCTCCAACAACCTTACTTTCCCCCTCTGCCATTGTCTCGTCAATTGGCCTCTCCAACATCACACTAAAATCCTCTGAATAATCACCGTAAACTTGCAAATATTAACGTTGCATCAAAAAAGAGTTAATGAATCCTACTCATGACGCCAAGAATTTAAAACCAAAATTTGCACATGATACAACCGTTGAAGCCAAGTTTACAAAAAACCAGAACATACTTCCATCAACTTACCAAGATCAAACTTGGGAGCCTTCAGGATCTTGACGTTACGAATGAAAACATTCTGTAGGGGATAGATGCTTGAGGTAGCCTTCTCAATCTTTCTGCCAATCACCTCAGGGATGAACTTTGCATCGGGTTCTTTCAGATCACAGGATGATGCCTGGTTAACCATAATCTCCCTCACCTACCAGCGAATCTGACAAAAGAACAGCTAGTACGAAATATTGAAGTTATGTGAAACTACTGCTTAATTAAACAAGTCCAGAATGAGAAATTTGAACCTGACGGATCTGACTGGACTGAGCATAACAGGTTCGCTTGACTGGATCTGATTGGACTGAGTAAAAGAAAAAAGAGTGAATTGTTGGAAAAAAAAGAGAAAAAAGAAATAACAAAAGAAAAAATTTACGGTTTTAAATAAAAAAATCATAAAATAACTAAATATCACAATTTAAATTTCAAAAACCACTTTAAATCCGCCTTAAATTACAAAATGAGTTATGTAATTTATCCTAAAATTTAATATGAATGTTGAGTATTACTAGTATAGATGATAGCTTATAAATGGTGAGTATTATTAGAATGGATGTAGTATATCTTCAAGTAAAATGCATTGATCATCCACGATTTTTTAAAATATTTCAATTTTGTTTTTATTGGTGATTTTAAAACATAATTTTTAAATTCATAATATTTTTAAAATGTCAAATATTTCATTTCATACTTTATTGTAAAAATTTAACAAAATATAACACGTAAAATGTAAATATTTAAATTTAAATTCAAAAATTAAATAATCACATTAAATAATCACGTTTCTGATTTTATTAAGTTCACACATGAATGTTTACAAAATGATTGAATGACTAATTTTGTTATATTTTAACATTATGGAGGATATTTGAAATATTTTTAAAAGGTAATAAATCCAAAATTTAAATTTTAAAAATAAAAAATCATCAATATGTAATGTAATTTTCTCTATATCTTTTCTTTTGAAAAGTGAAGGCCTTATTAATGCAAAATTAAAAAAAAAAAGTTAATAGCACTTCTAATCCTTAGAATTTAGCATGAATTATATTTTGGTTCTTAATTTTTAAAAAATTTTAATTAGATTTTTAATTATCTAAAGTTATTTTACTATAATCCTTTCATTTATTAAACTGTTTAAATTGACTATAAATATCAGTGAACACCATTTGATGATGTTAATTGACACTCAAATGATAAGGAAGGACTAAAATAAAATTCTCTCAAAGTTTAGAGACAAAACATAAAATTATCTTAAAATTTTATATATTTTATATATTTTTTATAAAAATATTAAATTCAAAATCATATTTTTATATTTTTTGTTGTAATATAACTTATTAGTAAGATTTTTTTTTAAAAAATAGCAAATAGATATTCAAAATTTAAAATTAAGTTGAAAATTTCAAATTCTTTTTTTTAGAAAAGTCAATACATTTAAAAAAAAAATTTTCTATTAAAAATATTATTTTACTCATAAATCATAAGAAAAAAAATATTATTTTCTATCTAAAAAATTTATTTTCTTAAAATATTAAATATCGTTTATTTTTACTTTTTAAATATATTTTAAAAAATATTTTATAAAAAAATAAAAATGTTTTAAATTATATTTTTTATTTTATACAAATATAAAGATTTTAACAAAAAAAAGGTTCAAGTTAGATTTTTTGGATAGAAAATAAATTTTTAAATAGATTAATAAATTTATTTTTTGAAATAATATGAAATTTTTTACATAATATTTTAAAATGATATGAAGTTTTTATTTAATTTTTTAAATCAATATAGGATTTTTTACTTAATGTTTTTAAATTGATATGTAATTTAAAAAAAAATATTTTCAAACTTTTAACTTAATTTTAATTTTTTAAAATTCTATTTTCTATTAAAAATATTATTTTATTTATAAATCATATCTTTAAAAAATTAAAAAATTTATAAATTATAATATTTAAAAAAATATTTGAAATATATAAAAATAAAATTTTCTTTAATTATTTTTATTTTTTTATTTTTATTTTTTGTAACATACATTTGAAAAAAGAAAGTAAAAATATATTTTTTGATAGAAAATAATATTTTTTATTATAATTTATGAGTAAAATAATATTTTTAATAGAAAATAATTTTTTTGTTTTAAGATGATTTTGATTTTTTTTAAAAAAATGAAATTTTAACTTAATTTTAATTTTTAAAAATCTATTTGTTATTCAAAACAAAAATATAACTAATAAATTATGTTATGACAAAAAATATAAAAATATAATTTTAAATTTAATATTTTATAAAATATATATAATATATAAAATTTTAAGATAGTTTCATTTTTAATTTCTAAATTTTGAAATAATTCTATTTTGGTCTTTTTTCTGTCATGGGAGTGCTAGCTAACGGTATTACATGGTGCCAGCTAGCATTTATTGTCATTTAGATGGATTTATAAACGAAATAATCAAAATATGACAATTTTTCGTAATTGAAAATCTGATAACTTTTTAAATATTAAAAATTAAAATAAAATTTGAGTCAAATTTAGATATTAAATGTGCTATTAACTTAAAAAAAAAAAAGAATTCTATTTACACCAAAATTTTTACTTTATACACCCCATTGCTAAATACACGTCAAATTCAAATTTAAATTTCTTATTTCTACTAAATATACCTTATCCTTCAATAATTGACTTTCCCTTTAAACCCTAAACATTTTTTCTTTTTTTTCTCCTTTTCTCTATTTAATCTTAAACCCAAATTAACCTTAAATCCATCAAATTAACCCAAAAATTATTTTTTTTGTCTTTCATTGATTAAAAGTAAGATTTAAAATTTTATTTCATTTTATTTGATTTAAATGCATATGAAAATAAGTTAGAGTTTAAGAAATGAATTTCATAGAATTCAACCTTTTCGAAATGGATTTTTAAGAATCTTTAACATTTTCAAAAATCCATTTATAAGAAACCTCATTTTCGAAAATACAATATAAATTTTGAAAATTCATTTTCAAAAATAGATTTTCAAAAATTATATTGTATTCTTGGAATGGGTTTTCGAAAACATTAAAAAAAATCAAATTCGATTGGGTATATGAAAAAAAATGATGAAAAAAGAAGAAAAAAGAAGAAAAGGAAAAGAAGAGGAAGGTAAAATTATAATTTATTAAAAAATAAATTTGATATTTGTTATCTAGATAATTTTGAAAAAAAATTGACGGGGTGTAAAGAAAATTTTGGATGATATGTTTAGAAGCCCAAAAAAAAAATCCCTAGCTGCTCTAACATAAGAGAGGAGATTGGCCGGAAAATAGAAGAGAAGGGACGGTGGGCTCAGTCCATAAAGTTGAGTGGCTGGCATTGAACCCAGGCTTTGTGGGTCCACTTATTCAAAAGCCCACAATAATTATGAAATTTTTACAGATTCTTGCGGAAACGCGCAAAAAAAAAAAAAAAAAACTCATCTTCTTTATTTGGGGGTGGCTGAGACTAGCAATAAAATCCGTGAATTTTGATGCTTTGTATAAACTAAATTTCTTTAGCATTCCTTTCTACAAACAACTTGGAAAGGACAAACAAAGTGGTAAAAGAATGGCGGAGGAACCAGATTCCACTGAGTTGCAGAACAGCGATTGCTCTTTTGTGTGGGATCCTCATACTCGTCTCTACTTCCATGCCAGGTTTCCCCCTTCCCTTTTTTTTTTTTTCTAATTTTTTACCATCTTTTTTTTTTTTTTATATTACTACTACTTTTTTTTTTCTATTAATATATTACTCGTATTCATCCTTCCGAATATCTTGCTGATTGGAATGAAATTAATTTTAGATTTTTTCTGCATAATTTTATCCAAATTGCACTTTGCTACATTTTTTTTTCTCTCTCAAGAATCTGTTCTATTTGTTGCAGTAGTGGATTTTACCATGACACTGATGCTGGTTGGTACTATAGCAGTAGAGATGGCCTTTATTACACATTTGAGAATGGAGATTATGTGCTTTTGGACCTCCACAAGGACAACGTGGTTAGCTCTTCCCTTCTTTTCCTACTTTCTTTGACCCTCTTCTTTCTTCTCTACTTCGATCAGCTTGATTGATCCTAAGTTCGCAATGCTATCTGCTTTAGATTAGTGATTGTGAAATGCTTTCGCAGGAAGGAACCGTGGCTGATAATTCTGTTCTAAATGAGCCTTGTGCCAATGTGCCTTATAACGGTCAGGAGTATTGCTCTTCATCTCAGGGTAATGAAGTTGATGCTCGTGATACTGCAATAAATGTTACTGATGAATCTACTATTGCATGTAAGTTTGTTTACTCAATATTATGCAGTGGAATGGTTGTAGGAGAGTTGAGTAAACTTTGCCGCAGAGGGACTGTACAAGTTCTTCTTTGAGCAGAGCAATTTATGAATCTTGCTCAAATATTTATTGTTATAAATTTCATCTCGAGAATACGTTTTACTTTTGTAAATAATGTTCTATTTATAGGATTTTCTTTCACTCCAGTGTTTTAAATCAATTTACTGGACTTCTAATTACCAGATCAGATAGAGGACACCAGTACTCAAGTGCCTGAAAATCCGCCACCACCATCAGAATGGTATGCTGCTTCTGACATTTTGCATCCTATATTTTGATGCTACCAGTTGGTTGAGTATGTATTTTCTTACTAAAGTTTCATATATATTCAGGTTAGAAGACACACTCATCGACCTTTATCTCTCTGGTTATAACTTTGTTGTCAATTCTGATGCTAATGCAACTATTTCGTTGGAAACAGACAACAGCGAGAACATTAATTTTCCTTCCGATGGTCTGTCACAACTTTGTTTGTTTAATTTTTGTAAAAGTTTGCTTTCTTCGAAAGATGAATTAAAAAGTTTGTTATGTTCAGAAGATGATCTAATGGTGTTTTGTCGAGGGGCAGGAATTGATGAAATGTATGAGATGGAAGAGGGTGAATGGATTCCAGAGGAAAACCATGGTTTAGCTGATTCAAGTGAATTTGTCCCATATGAAGGTCTTGTGACTATGTTGCTATTGTTAATCGTTTGACTGATATCCTATTTATTTGAAACAATCAACATCTGCTTCAGTTTTGCCTACAAAATTGACCACTTGAGGGATCCTTGTGGGACCAATTTCACAAGTCTAAATCAACACACTGGAAAATTTTTGTTTAGGTGATACATGGGATGAAAAAAACTGGCGAGCACAATATGGTCAAGTCACGCAATCCAGGGAAGAGCCCGTGCCAGAATTCCCAGTCGTGGATTTATGGGATTGGATTATGGTGATGACACCAAGGAAGGATGGAAAAGGCCAGGTGGCTAGACTGATAGGTCGGCTGGTAAAGCGTTCTGCTAAGGTTCATCCCTCCGTGCCTTCTGGTGGCGGTCTATTTAAAACTGCTCCTATATGTGAGGCACATCTTGATCTGGTACGAGTTAGAACAGGTTTGCATTTGCCTCTTTTATAGAAGAACTTTTGCTAAACAAGCAAAGGGTGATTGTTGGTTTTGATTAAAAAGGAAGTAAGGAAAATATATGGTTTTCTTTTACAACTCTCTGTTTGCAATTTACTGTTAATGATTCTAATTTGTAAGGTTATCCCCCTCCATTAATTGTTACAGGACAAGTGTACAAATTGCGAAGTCCAAGTCCAAGGTACTTAGCTTCCTTGTCAAAATATGATTCTTCTCATCCAACAAAAGACTGGGGCTTCCCTGATTTATCTGTCATTAAGAAAGCTTCCCTCCAGTTTAAATCAAGGCAAAAGCATAAATCAGAAGCAACTGGAGAGAAAGGCTTAAAAGATTTATCTATATCGTCAGATCAGCCCTTTGCATCTGTGAAGGTAGTGTTTGCTTTCAAGAAGTTAAACTCCCAAGTTCTTTTGCCGTAGTTATGTACGTGAAGTATACCATTAACAGCAAGAAGCACTTAGGAAGTATAAAAATCTATGAATAGTGACAAGAATTAGTGACCCCATTGAAGTAGAAGAGAGTATGATGACACCAAGTAAACATTGAAAAGTTTCATGGGAAAATATCTAACACTTCATAAGTAGGCCCTTTTGTTTAATCAGGCCTGTTGAAAATTCATAACTTTTTTATTCAAAATACCCTTTATGTTGCCAAGGGAATTGCCTTTGGTAATCAAACACTAACATCTTTGCGTCCAAATTGGAGGGTTCAGTTCATCTACTCATTCCCCAACTTAACTGTCCATTTCTTTCTTGTTTCACTGTGTCACAAAAAAAAAAAAAATTTCTTTCTAAAAGAAAAATCCTATTTAGACTGGAGGTAATTTTTGTTAGTATCTTAGAACTCAAGTATATTGGTTGCCATTTTTACACAGTTTGTAGGCTATGCTTATTCCTTTCGCAATCTTCCTTTTCCCTTGTCTTTTGATACAATTTAGCAGAGAAGCCATGTCTATCGGGATAGAGCTGCTGAGAGAAGAACTTTGCATGGTGGCTTTGGTCTGGGTCCAGGGCAAAAAAATGAGGCAATTGGTCATGATAGTGATCCTATCTGTATAGAAGATGCCAAAACTGAAGCCTTGAACATGTCATTTGGGGCCGGTAGTTATGCCAGACGAATTCTAGAAGGCATGGGCTGGAAGGAGGTGAGTTGCAATCTTATTAAGGTTTCATATTATATTTGTTGTGTTATTTAAATCACAAACACTTATATCTACAATAGATCTAAGGAGTGTGAAACCCTATGTCCTAAATAATTTTTATCAGTATGACTCTGCCACCCATTACTTATGTTGATTGGGTGAAAGGGTTATCTTTTAAAAGTAAACCTTAGAGAAAACTGTTTCTTCAATCATTTTACACTGTGGTCATGCACTCATGTATATAAAGCCATATAACCACCATTTTCCACTCTTTCACATTTAAATTGTATGCAGGGGGAGGCACTTGGTAGCACCACAAAGGGCTTGACAGAACCATTACAGCCGATCGGGAACATTGGTAATGCTGGACTGGGATGGCCTCAAAGAAGGCGCTGCTAGGATTGCTAGCCACCATCAACTTTCTGAAATTTGAATATTCTTTTTCGGCTTGTGCCTTTGGTGGTAGATATGATAATTTATCGTAATTCTTGTGGGGACAATAAAAGCACCATCACCAAAAGCTACGAAAATGGAAGAACATCATAGTGGTGTTTGTGGTTTAAATTCCTCTATGCTGTTTTCTTTTGGGTACATAAATTCCTCTATCTTCTTTAAGGTAAGAAAAACAAGACTATAATTAATCCTCTACTTTTTAAAATTTATATCCGTCTTGCAATAGTTTGCAGGCTATCAGTGGCTATCCGTCTTTTGTTACACTTTTGTAACTTTTTGGATATTATAGAATTTGGGATAAATTTCCGGCTTTTCTTTTGTTTGTAGATTATCATAGGCCAAGTAATGGTAATTTTTCCGTCTTGATTGGATGGTGTCATGTGTTTATCTTCCATTTAAATACAACTTTTTTGTTTGCTTTTCTTTTTTTTTGGCGTAAATTAAAACAAAAATAATGTGGTTTGAGGGGAAAATGCTTTTTGAGATTTAAAATTTGATATTTAACTATCTTATCTTATATTTCCGTTAGCACCCAAATTATTTTTGTTAATTTTTGCACTAATACCATTAATTTTTTTTCTTTTGTTTATAAGTCTTTTTCCCTTCTTTTTCTTCAGGTATTTGGCTTTTGTTTTTTACAGGCATGTTCTGATCAATCTTTATATCTTTTTTCTTTGTTAAAAGAGGCTTACGCCCATGTAAAACAATCTCTTAAACAAGTTCTTTTGCGAATAATGTCAATGTTTATATGAGTGGTTAATACAAGGTCTACAAAAATAAAAGAGCTTTTGTGCATGTCAAAAGTAAGGGAAGAAATCTATTCAAAGGAATGCATCAAAAAATGATGCCGGTATTTAAAGGCTACCCCGGCATGATATGGTTTAACCTATAAAAACCCTGTCAGCACGATCCAAATTGTTATATGGGCTGGGCAGGTTGTCTTTGGCATAATTTTTAAGGTAAATTACATAAATATATTTTGAGATTTAACGCGATTTGAATTTATCTCTTGAGATATAAAAAGTGATATTTAATTATTTTATAATTTATTTTATTATATTTTAATCCAAAAATATTACTTTTTTTATTTTTTTTTATGAATTTTATTTTCGATTCATCTTTTTTCTTTAAAATTAGATGAATTCTCTTTTTAAACAATTAAATCCAAAACCGTCGAAAAACTCTTCTCCACAAACCCAGAAAAGCAATATCAAATCAAGACCTAAAATTTTGATTTTGCTCTTGGATGTATGGTGTTATATGGCTGTGTTGATTATTCTTAATTGAGACTTCAATTTTTTTATTTATTTGTTTGTATGCAAATTTTAAGTTATGTCTTTTTGAGAATAAAAATTTTGTTTTTAGGAATTGTATCAAGCATCAAACAAATAAAACTACCAACAAACCCAAAAACCTAAAAACTCAGAAAAAAAACTCAACATCCACTAGAAAAACATGTAAAATCCAAAAATAACCTAAATTACTCACACATAATAAACTCACAAAATAACCACAAATCCACATAATAGCCACAACTTATCAACAATGATTTTTTTTCTATGAGTTTGATTTGAATTTTTTGAGAATTTTTGAATTTTTAAAACTGAGATGAAAAGAGGAAAAGGTAGAAGATCAACTGGTGACACATACCAAAATAATATACTTTTCTAACATTTGATCCCCCACTTGCTGAATATTGTAAAGAATTCATGTTTCTAATCCAATTTTTTTTTTTGAAAAGTTTGAATATGAGAAAAAGCAAACAAAAAAACTTTGAAAAAAAAGTTAGGGTTTATTGATTAGGTGTTAATGGCGTTAATGAAAACTAACGGAATATTACGGATACTTAGCTCAGGATTGTTAAATGTCACTTTTTAAACCTCAGGAAGCAAACTCAAATCACGTTAAACTTTATGGTATATTTATGTAATTTATCCTAATTTTTATTATAATGGACGATTAAGTTAAAATTATTTGACCCATTAATTGATAGATCATAATGGATCATAAGTTAACTAGTAACATAAATTAGTACAATAATACCCATTTTTTTTCTCTCATTTGATTTTTGTTCATCATGTTTTTATTTTTCAATTGATTAATGAGTAACAAATAATGATTTTATTATTTTTTTTCGCATGGAAAAGGTTATATACACAAAACATATACACTTAAATTTACACTTAATTGATTTTTTCTCACATCATCTTTTCTAACTTTTTTTAAACATAGCTTTTCTAAATAATAAAAGTCATGTTATTTTTTTATTTATAAAAATACCATAATAAAATAGTTGTGTAGTTATGTGTCTATATATATATATATATCATTATCTTTTCCACATGATATATTCATTAAAGGTAACATTAGAAAGAAGCAGGCAAGGGCCGCGGCTTTTTCAAAATTTTTTTACCTTTTATGTTATATAAGGATCAATCCCACCTAATTACCATTTTGATCCTTTATTTCTCTTTAAAATTATTGTTTGTTTCCTCTTTTATTAATTTTTTGCTTTTACTTTGACATTCATTGATATTTTTTTTAAAGTTATGAAATCCCACATTATTTGACCTAAAACCCATTATATCTCAAAAACTCTCTTAACCAAAACAAAAAATGAAACTCTTTTAACTAAAAGATTAAAAAACTTTAGTCGAATCATGTGGACATAAGCATTTTAAGTCTGATCACATAAATTAAGTGTTTATTTTTTATATATTTTTTTTGTAATTATAACACTAAAATAATAAATACATAAAAAATTAACAGTTGAAGAAAACATTATATATGAGAAAACAAAAAAAAAAAATACTACTAGATCGATCATAGTCTAATTTTCTAATACAACCCATAACATACCCGAACCATGGATCGTGTTGCACTAAAGATTCAAAATCTGAGTCATATTAGAGACGGGACATATTATAACTGAGTTGGACCAACATGGCTTGATTTGAACCAAATCCAATCCTAAGACATGTCCATCTAACCCAACCCACCTATTTGCCAACTCTAGTTGTATTAAAATATCTTGATGAGACAATTCTTTCAAACTCATTAATAAGGCAACATAAAAACTTTATCAAACACAAATGACATGTTTCCATAGTGGGTGTAAATATCTAAATTTCATCAAATTAGTTTTCAAACTAATTACTAGCAATAATATTATGATATCATATTCTGTCATAACTTTTGATATTTGTGAAAGGAATTCAAAATTGGCTCTTAAATAGTTGTTTAATCCATAACATAAATTCAAAGAATCTTCTAAGGATTATTTGTTTGATACTTGTCCAATTTAAAAAATGACTATTTTGTTCCTTTAATAAAACAAAAGGAAAGAGAGAAAGAAGTAAGTAGGCCTCCTGCTTTAGGCCTTATTCAAATGTCATTCAACTTAATCAGTCAAATTCAAGTCCAAAAAATTATACATGAAAAAAAATACTATTAGGTCAAGCCTAGTCTAGCTTTTTAGAACCACATATCATATCAGACTAAGGGGTTTAAAAATCTAGATCATGTCATACATAAGAAGTGTCAGGTTGATCTTAACCACCAATTTGCCAATTGTAGCTGTATTAAAATATCTTGATAAGATATGCTTTTTTTGAACTCATTAGTAAGATAAAATTAAGGCGATATTTGGTTTGAGAAAATTCATAAATTTTCTTTCAAAAATTTGATGGTAGGTATTTGATTTTCATGTTTCATTCAAGATAATCCGATTATAGGAGAAAGTGATAGATTCCTAACAGTATCCAAAGTTCCAAAATCAGAAACTTATCTTTTCCTATGGTATTCTAGGATTCCAAAAATTTGACTTAAAAAAATTATGAAATAATTATTACCCTTTTGAAAAGCATGTTTAGAAATGACTGAACATCAGTTATAGATTTTTGTACGAATTTTTTTTTTATATTGCAAACAAGGAGTTTGGCATAAAGAAACGCCTTAAATAATCTTTTTCTGTTTTTATAAATGGATTATATAATGTATTTTTATACAAACGCCTTAAATAATCATTTTATATTTTTATAAAAAGATTATTTATATAAAATGATTATTTAATGCATTTTTATATAAAAAACGCCTTAAATAATCCTTTTATATTTTTGTAAATAAATTATTTAAAGTGTTTCTATATAGAAAATGCCTTAAATAATACCTTTATAATATAAAATGATTATTATTTAAAGAATTTTTTGTATAGAAATACCTTAAATAATCTTTTTATATTTTAGGGTTAATATTTTTATAAAAGGATTATTTAAGGTGTTTTTGTAAAGAAAATGCCTTTAATAATATTTTTATATTTTTTAAAGAGATTGTTTAAGGCATTAACGCCTTAAATTATCTATTTATATTTTTATAAATGGATTATTTAAGACATTTCTGTATAGAAAATGCCTTAAATAATCTTTTTATATTTTAGGGTTTATGATTAATATTTTTATAAAAAGATTATTTAAGGTATTTTTTGTACAAAAATATCTTAAACAATCCTTTTATATTTTAAAAGAACCTTATTAAATGGTCCACGATATAAAAAAAATAAAAAAATTATTTAAAGCATTTTTATATAAAAAATGCATTAAATAATCATTTTATATGCACATAAAAGGATTATTTAAGGCTTTTTTTGTATAGAAATGCCTTAAATGATCCTTTTATAAATAAATTAAAAGAATATTCTTAAATTTTTTTATGATATAAAAAAAATGGTAAATGTATTAATTGATTTTTTTTTTTAATTTCCTATCAATTTTTGTTACTTAAAAAAGTTTCAAATGCCTCAATTGATGATATTTTATAAATAAAAACAACAATCAAATAAAATATTTATCTTTTTTTACTGCTAAAAATATCATTTATCATTTGAGTATGTATTATTAATAAAATAAAATAAAAAAGTTACCGTTATATATGACAAAAAGATTATGGTAATTATATAGAAATTAATATACGTGGATTCTCTTAACCAAACGAATGAATCTGAACACAAGATGTCTTAAAAATGGAAGAAAACTTTGGATATTGCACTTTTCTAGGACTTACATTTTCTCCCGAAATCCAAGATTCTGCGAACCACACACCCCTTAGATCTATTTCAAACACAAATGACATGTTTCCATAGTTGGTGCAAATATCTAAATCTGATGAAATTAGTTTTGCAATCCAATTGCCAACAATAACAGTATGATGTCATATGTTGCCATGTCTATTGATAGTTGTGAAAGAAATTTAAAGTTGGTTCTTGAATGATTGTTGTTTAATCTATAATCATAAATTAAAAGAATCCATGTTTGATACCTGTCTAATATAGAAAACGATTATTTTGTTCATTAGATAAACCATCCAGTTGCTATTCAACCCAATAACTAAGGCTGAGCAATCGGTTGGTTCGGTTGTAAAAATAAAAA